AAACATTTGTAAATCAAAGTTTATAAAAGTTGAATGAATTTAATGGTTAAGTGAAGTGCAGTTTGGGTACAACCGATGTACACAACAAGACATTTGAATGTACTGTACGTTAGTTTGTAGTGAATATAGTGAACACATCCGATGTTTTCACGTGATATTCATATGGTTTCACAATACTATCCAAGACTTGTATGGATAGACAAGTTGTCGCGGATGACGTCGACATCGAGGGCTCAAAGACCGGTCTCCACCGGTTCCCATCCCAATCCCAATACCTGTATTGCCTCAATAAGTCGCGTTTCACTGGCTTATCTCAAACTCAGATATTCTGTACTTATTCTGTGTTCACAGATAACAACTCGACGGCCAATCCGTGCCTTTTTTCAATGCCTTCCCCTCAATGCTGTTCACCAACGGACGAGTTATTGGGTTTTCCGATCAAACATACAAGACATGACTTACAAGACTTACAGGTCTTTTAGATATTAATTAAACACTTTTCGATACATTAGATCAATATATGACAGCAAACACTCTCGAGTTGTTTGAGACAAACTTTTTTCTATCCGTTTGTCACTCAATAGCTATTTAATCAGAAGTTTTTCATTCAGTGTATTTAGTATAGGAATTGATTTGCGAACTGAAATTCAGTATTAATTTTCACATTAATTATGGACTCATTTCAGACACAGAAGCGAATCACAGAATTGTTGAGTGGAGTAAGTCTTAGCTATTATTTTATGTGACAAACCATTTCTAACTGATGTATTTTCGACAGTCATTTAATTCAATGAAAACTTATTGAATGTCTGTTTATCCCAAAAGCACCCGTCCCTCAAGTCATTTTTGGCCGGTTCTGTCAGCGGCACAGTCTCTACACTACTCTTCCAACCGTAAGTTTTTTGAGTTAAAAAAAATGTGTAAAAATGTGTAAAACATTGATTTTATTTGTACTTATAGTTTCGATTTGGTTAAGACTAGAATACAAAATGCCAACATTGCACCCCATCCCACTAAGTATGCCATTCATTGTTGTTTTAATTGAGTTTTTAATTCATTCATTTATTTGTCTTATAGTATATCGACAATACGTGTCGTCCCGTTAGTAACACAAGTGCTGAGAGACGAACAGTTACTCGGCTTATGGAAAGGAACAGTACCCGTAAGTAACCACTCGTCGATCACATTAAGTATACAATTATTAATACCGTAAATATATTTCTCGTAACTACAGTCCCTTTTGCGATGTGTGCCCGGAGTGGGGCTATACTACTGTTCGTTGGATTACCTGAAGACACAATTCTGTACGACAGCGTCGGGAGAGACGACTCAGCCTTCGGCCGTTCAGGCGCTCTGTTTCGGAGTCGTCGCCCGTTCCTTCTCGGGCTCAGTCCTTATACCCGTTACTGTCATTAAAACGCGTTACGAGAGCGGAGTGTTTGCCTACGGAAGCCTATCACAGGCTCTTAGGCACACGTATATGAGCGAAGGGCCCAGAGGTTTGGCCCGGGGTTTGGTGCCCACACTCATGAGGGACGCGCCCTTTTCGGGACTATATTTCATGTTTTACTCGCAACTCAAACAACTAGTTCTCACCTCATCGTCCACTTCGCCCAACAATACATCCATTTCCCCGATTCTCACGTTTACTATCGGTCTGAACGCCGGACTCATGGCATCCATAGTGACGCACCCCATGGATGTGGTCTGTATTTCTGTATTTTATTGCTTTCTTATAGTTTACTATAGTTTAACACAATTTAGAGTTTAGTTGAAAGTGGAGTTAGAATTTTGATAAAATACAAGTGCTTTTCATTTCATTGTGTATACCAAACACTCAAACCTGAAATACTTTACTCTTTTCATTGCACTGTATCAGCGAGTGATAGCTATACTGTACTTGCTAACTTTGACCCAAAACACCAATCAATCTGTCCTATACTGTAATGCACTATATATTCTGAAGTAGTTAGCGATTCTGTTATCTATAATATAAAGTCCTTCAGTTTTAATATTTATTTTATATGAATGACTATACTTTGAGTGTAAATTGCAATTGAGGTTTAAATTTGAACAATTTTGAACCCTTCAATACAATAATACTGTATACTATTTTGAAATGTTTATTTTGTTGATAAATACCGTAGTTTTAAAAATATAACTGAAGAATATTCTAATGGTATTCACATGTCTGTCATAAGACATACAAACATAAGACTAGTTTTGATTATAGATTTTGCGAAATATCATATTAATAGCAATATTTTAATCAATTGGTTATAAACTTCAACAGTATTTAACATAACAAAAACAAATACTTGACAGTAAACCTCATATGACTATTGAGAATCACTATTAATAATAATATTAATTATATTCTAATCAAATCCTTATGATAGACATGTGAATACTCTTGAATAAAATGTTATATTTTAAAATATAATTTTGTAATTTTAAGTAAAATTCAATATAAACTAAACTTATGATCTGTGAACTAATGGTATACATCCTTACATGTGCTGATCAGGTGAAGACACGGATGCAATTATATCCCAAAGAGTTTTCGTCGTTAATCTCGACGCTGGCGCTCATAATGAAGGAGAAGGGAGTGAAGGGATACTTCTGTGGACTATTGCCGCGAATGCTTCGCCGGACACTTGTGGCCTCCATGTCGTGGACTGTATACGAACAGCTGGTCAAGAATATTGGCCTTAAATAGGAGGTGCCCTTCATATTAGGACTACATCTAACAAATTATTCATTAACGTTTGTCAAACATAAGCCAAACCATAACACACTGTACATCATATTTATGGCTATAAAACGCATTCAAAACATTATCTAAATGTTTGCTAATCAGTGCAATCAACCATTTAATTCATTCAAATCGTTATCAACTTGTTGTTTAAATATTGCAATTGTTTTAATGAGATTTTTAAAGCCAATTATGTATTAATTCAAAGTTTAGTTATTTATATCAAATGTTATCTAAATCGGTAATCAAATCACTGTTATATTCGTTATTAAATGTGAGAACACTATAAGAGTTAAACCAATTGTTATATTTAATGAGATACTAAACAAAATGTGATAAAACTGTTATACAATTATTATATTTTTAATGATTTATATCAAATCAAAATACAATACAAAATACGGCAAAAATAAACCTAAATCTCGAAAACCGAAACATTAGTTCTCATTGTCTTCCTCCTCGTCGTCGCCATCACTGTCTTCGTCCTCATCGGTCTCGAAGGTCTGGTCGGGGATGTCGTACAAGAGGAGAGTGGCTTTGTTCGGGTCCTTAAGGATCAGATACTTGCCTTCTTTCAGTTTCATACAGACATCGATTATACACCTCAACACTCCCCACGCGTTATCCATATTGAGGTTCGTCTGATCCGCGAACTCCTTGGGCTTAAACTGTTGCGTACCTAAGATGGCGTGTTTGGAGGAGTCCCTGAAGTGGACACGACTTACGTATCTGTGAGCCGAGACAATCACACATTAGATCTGGACAATAGACTTATGCAGACCACGGATGTGGACTTATTTGTACCCGAATTTGATTTGATCGGATCCGGCCAACAGCGCAGAGACCGTCCATTTCGCTAATTTACACGAATTGTTCTTCAGTTCGTTGGCCAACACGGCTCCCCTCTGGACGTCCAGCTTCTGTCGCCAATCGATACCACCGCCCACTCGGGGGTCCCATTCGTTGAGGGCCTTAATGTTGACGAACTGCACCTCACCGTTGGGTCCCATCATAACCGAGTCGTGTTCGCAGCGGACCACCAGTTCCACACCGTCTCCCAAATCCCATTTCCTGTACCGATAGGCCACTGACGCCACCTCTCCCTCCTCGTCCTCCTGAGCGAAAGGGTTGGGTTTCTCAAACTTAAACTTCTCTTCGCCGGTCTTCAGGACCTGTTGCGAGAAGTTGTGGTTAATGAACGTCGCCTCCAGTGCCAGATTGCGCGGCCAATTGATACTATTGGTGCCGTCGTCCGTATAAAAGGGCGGTTCGGCGGCCGTCTCGTTAACGTTCAGTAAATCAAACTCCGATTCGTCCCTCTTATCGAAGAACAACTTATTTCCCACTTTCTGGACCACTATATCCCACGATATCACCGAACGGGTGGCGCACATCAGGGCCGCCAGTATGGCGTCCGTCGCGAACACATTGCCCTCCGTTTTGGACAGTTGTCTAATGATTGGGTCGTCAGTTGTGGTCACTTTATGGAAGATTCGGTTCACGCGAGTCAAGCGCTTCTCGTTCTTAGAGGTCACCCTATCGTAGGTCTTGTCGTAGTACTCGAGTGCACCGCAAGTGTACACGTCTTTGCCTTCGGGAACCGCTGGAAGCGATAGTTTGCTGAGTCGAGGGAAGTCCATCTCCTCGATGATCTTCCAGGTGGGCCTCACGTCCACAGAGGCGTCCCTCTTCTTCTGCTGCTGCTGTCCCTTCTGGTCGTACTTCTGGCGCACATTCTTCTGCCACTTCCCGCCCCTCATACCGACGTTCCCTTTGTCCCGACCCCT